AAAATTAAAGAAAATAAATTATTAAAAATGGCAAGGGGGTACTGGGGATATAGCTCAGTTGGTAGGATGCTTGACTTGCATGCATAAGGTTCTGGGTTCAATCCTCAGCACCATTAAAAAAAAAAAGTCAAGGGAAAATAGTATATTACTTGAAGAATAGGAATGACTACAGATGTCCTATTAAATCAGAGGACAGAAGGAAGTACACATTTTTAAATGCTGCAAGAACTGAAACCATACTGCTATGGGTTTRAATATGGTTTGTTCCCATCCAAACTCATGTTGAGGCCTGGTCCCCTATGTGACAGGATTTAGAAGTGGTAAGGCCTTTAAGAAGCATTTGGAGCCAGGTGTGATGGTACACACTTGTAATCCCAGCTACTTGGGAGGCTGAGGCAGGAGGAACCCAAGTTCAAGGACAGCCTGGGCAACTTAGTAAGACTGTCTCAAAATGAAAAGGGCTGGGGGTATAGCTTAGTGGTAGAGTGCTTGCCTAGCATGTGCAAGGTCCTGGGTTCACCCCTCAGTACCATAAAAATAAATACATACATAATATTTGAAGAGACATTTGGGACATGAGGGTTCAACCTTCATGAAGGCATTAATGCCATCTCATAGGAATTAGTCAGAGTTCTCACTCTATGGCACTGGACTGGACACCACAGAGCAGGTTATAATAAAGCAAGGCTTCTTTTGTTTGTTTTATCTCTGCCCATGGGTGTTTCTACTTCCAACTTCTGCCATGTTATGAAGTGGCATGCGGTCCTTACCACATAAGGCCACCCAATCTTGGGACTTCCCAGTCTCCAGGATGATGAGCAAAAACAGCCTCTTTTCTTTATAAAAATACTGCATCCCTAGGTATTGTTTTACCAACAGAAAATGGATCAAGACATATAACACGAGATAATTTTTTATCCTAAGGCAGGCAGAGTCAAGACATTCTAAATTTAAGGAAAATTAAAAGATTTTAATCTGTTGCAAGCAAAACTGTTCTAAAATATTTGCTTAGGGAAGCTCTAGAGAACTGATAAAGAATGAATCTTGAGGGCTGGGGCTGTAGCTCAGTGGTAGAGCGATCGACTCACATGTGTGAGGTACTGGGTTCAATCTTCAGCACCACATAAAAATAAAGATATTGTGTCCAAATACAACTAAGAAAGTATGAAAAAAAAAAAAGAATGAATCTTGAAACATCAGGAATATAGGAAAAGCAAGGAAAATGCTAAATATGCATCTTTTTGTTTGGGATAGGGGATTGAACTTTTTTACTTTTTATTTTGACAGTCTTACTAATAAATTGCTGAGGCTGGCCTTGAACTTGCTATCCTCCTTTTTCAGCTTCCAGAATAGCTGAGATTACAGGTATGTGCCACTGCACCTGGCTTATTCTTCTTGTATTGAGTTCTTTAAAATAAAATAAGATGATGGTTGCCAGGCACCGTGGTACATGCTTGTAATCCCAAGGCTCAGGAGGATCACGAGTTCAAAGCCAATGTCAGCAAAAGCAAGGCACTAAGCACTCAATGAGACCCTATCTCTAAATAAAATACAAAATAGTGATGAGGATGTGGCTCAGTGGTTGAATGTCCCTGAGTTCAATCCCTAGTACACCGCACCCTCAAAAAAGATGATGCTTGAAAGCATAAACAGTAACGCTGTTGGATAAGGTTTTAAATGTATACAGGTGTAGTATATAGCTATCACATAAAGGGTAGAGAGTAATAGGAACTAGTAAGGTTCTACATTTATCTCAAAGTGATGAAATACAATTCTAAGTAGATTGTGAAAGCTTATATGTATTTTCTAGTCACTGGAACAACCATAAATAAAACTATACAAAGGGATAATATGTTAAAAGCACAACAGAGGGAGATGTCACATACAATGGCTTTTTAGGAAGGTTTGGAGGTCTGCCCTTCCATAAAAATGGCCATTAAATTGTAAAAATCAATTATTTTGAAATTCTAGAACCTGATCAGACACATACAACAACCAGAAGCACAACATGAAGGAGCAACTGTTAAAATTTGGTAAGACAGTAGCATCTGTGATCCAAGTACCATCTACTATTCCTCTGAGGGACCCGTCAAGATGCCTGTGTTTGTTTCAACACATCCTGGAAGATTTAAACAGAAACAGTTTTGATCCACACAAGAAAATCTGTCAGATCATTGGCCTGGGTTATYTGTTTTCTTACTCTTGTACTTTGCACGTCCTTCATCTAGTGTAGTTAAAACCGCTGTGTTGGATATATAATTTGCACACTGTAGTTTGTCTTTTCATTTTCTTGACTGTGTCTCTGGTAGAGCCAAACGTCTTAATTTGGATGAAGTCCAAATTATCAACTTTTTCTATTATAGATCATGAGTTTGGTGTCTTTCCTAAGAATTCTTCATCTAACCCTAAGCCACAAAGTTTTCTCTTATGTTTTCTTCTAAAAGTATTATAGCTTTATGTCTATTATTCCTTCATGTCTAACTCTGTTTTTATTTTTGGTACTGGGGACTGAACCCATGGGTACTGTACCACTACGCTACATTCCTAAACCATTTACTTTTCTGAGACAGAGTCTCACTAAGTTGCTTTAGGCCTGGCTAAATTACTAAGGCTGGCCTTGAACTTATGTAAATAGAAGGGAGACCAGTAGAGTATAGGTAGTGATAAGAGGAGGAAGAGGACGGAAAGGAGAAATGCAAAGGAATGAAACAGACCAAACAGACCAAATTATGCATGTATGAATGAACTCATTTTATGTATAACTATAATGCACCAATACAAATTTAATTTCTTAAAAAAGACACTTTGAGATAAACTTGAGGGAACATGTTATCAGCAGACCTATACTATAGGAAATTCTAATAAGTTTTAAAATATATTTAATGCAATTATAGAAGTAGTTACACCTTTGAGAAAGGGTCATAGAAGAGATGTTTTCTCAAGATACTCTCAAAGAATAAGAATGATCAAGAGTTAACCAGGCTTATAGTTTTATTCGTGGTATAGTTTTTTTTTTTTTTTTTTTTAAAGAGAGAGTGAGAGAGAGAGGGGGACAGAGAGAGAGAGAGAGAATTTTAATATTTATTTATTTTTTCTTAGTTCTCGGTGGACACAACATCTTAGTCTGTATGTGGTGCTGAGGATCGAACCCGGGCCGCACACACGCTAGGCGAGCTCGCTATGGCTTGAGCCACATCCCCAGCCCTGTGGTATAGTTTTATTTGGGGTTGTTCCAATGATTAGAGAAAGTACAGAAGGTAGGAAGAAGTAAGATTCCAGGTAGAGGGAATAGTATAAATAAAAAACACAGTAAAAAATTAGACTTTAACCCATGTACTAGGAAATATTAAAGGATTTTCAATGGGGCAATGTATGGTCAATGTGGGCAGAGATACAGGTGTATATTTGTAGTCTGGGGCTAGAATGTGCATGAATGGAGATAAAGCTAAGAGGCAGTGGCTGACAGGGAGTAAATGGAATAAATCTAGAGACTTAAGAACTTTATGAAGATAAAAATAAGTGTAGTTGAGTGGGATAATAAAGTGTATAGTCAGAGTATATTGAGGGTAGATGTGACAGTATTGAGATGGTGGGATGAGGAAGATGGAAATTCATACATGGAATCTTTTGCTCCTTTCTCTCCCTCTCTTTCACTCTCTCCCTGTTCTTCTCCCTTTGTCTCCCTCACAGCTATCGTGAACTGCAACCTCTGAAACCAAGAGCCAAAATAAATCTTTTTTTCTCTCTTAAGAAAAAAAAGCTGGGTGAGGTGGCACACGCCTGTAATCCCAGCTGCTTGGGAGGCTGAGGCAGGAGGATTGAGAGTTCAAAGCCAACCATAGCAATAGCAAGGCACTAAGCAACTCAGTGAGACCCTAGCTCTAAATAAAAGACAAAAGAAAGCTGGGGATGTGGCTCTGTGGTTGAGTGCCCCTGAGTTCAAACCCCAATACCCATTTAAAAAAAAAAAAAATTCATGCATGGAATTTTAGTGGGTTCATATACCCTTATAAATTTATTCTTTAACTCCAGATTAAGATACTTCTAAGTGAAATACAGGTTGAGCACCCCTAATCTAAATATCCAAAGTCTGAAATGCTATACAATCCAAAACGATTTTAGGGCTCACATGATGCCACAAATGGACAATTCCACACCTGACCTCACATGATGATTTTAGTTCAGAAGAAAGAACAGAGGCTAGGGACATAGCTCAGTAGCAAGAACTTGCCTTGCATGTCTGAGGCCTTGGGTTTGTTGTGATTTTGGAATAAACAAAATAGCAACAAAATGCCCACAAAGGCACACTAAAAATGTTGTATAAAATTTCCTTCAGTCTATGTAAGGTGTAATGAAACAAATGAATTTTGTGTTTAGACTTGGGTATCATTACCAAGATATTTCATTATGCATATACAAATATTTGAAAATGTGAACATATATGAAATTTGATACTCAAATTGCACTAATAAATAAAGGCATATGATATAGGGACTCGGTGATAATTCTTTTTTTTTTTTTTTTTCTTTTTTATGGTGTTGGGGATTGAACCCAGGGCCTTGTGCATGCAAGGCAAGCACCCTACCAACTGATTTACATCCCCAGCCCTCTAGGATAATTCTTTTGGTATAGATTCTATACCTTACCTTCATTTGTGTTTCTAATGGTGTCTGTGCCAAGAAAGGAGGCTGTCCCACCAACATTTCAAAAAGAATAACACCAACACTCCACCAGTCACATAACTGTGTATATCCTAAAATAAGATACCAAAAACTTATAAACTTAAAAATGCTCAGAATTAATACAACACTAACATTGATCCACCAATTTACACTCTAAAATCAATATTTCATAATAAGGTTGAAAAATAAGGCATATTTTAGTGTAAATTTTGGTTGTCTAAAGGCCTATTGAGATTATTTATTTTAAAATGCTTTACCTGTTCGCAGCAATACTTCAGGTGCAATATAATTGGGAGTCCCAACCAAAGAATGTGCCAGACATCGCTGGTGCTGGCGTGCAGCTCTCCGCTCTAATGGCTTTAATCTATCTCCACATCGACAATTTGAGGGATCACCCCATTCATTACTGAAGTCCATGCTATCTTGCCGAGGATGGTCTCCTGTACAGAAAAAGAACAACAATAAATGAAAGCAACAAAGACAAAAGTAAATCTAAAGTCTGTTTAATCTTCTGATACCATGATTTTGGGTTAACAACATGTATTAGGTGGTCTAATGAAATTGTTTGGGATTTGGAGCCATGCAGAGTTGATTCTGAATTCTACCTAATCTGCTTAATAGATGTGGGGCTTCAAACTTATTTCTTTCCTTTAAACTATTGTAAGAAAAGATAGAATGAGGGCTGGCGTTGTGGCTCAGTGGTAGTGCGCTCGCCTAGAAGGCGCAGGGCCCTAGATTCAATCCTCAGCACCACTAAAAACAAATAAAGGTATTGTGTCCAACTACAACTAAAAAATAAGAATTAAAAAAAAAAAAAAGATAGAATGATACTGAGTGACAATCTAAACTATAAAATATGCCAAATCACTGATGGTGTTTATTATTGACTAGGGCCTGTTTTCTGAGACATGAATAGGAAAACTTTTACATTATGAAAAATGCAAGACTCACTAATTTACTTAAAGTTAAATGATAATAATATAAGTCATGAATAGGTAGGGTTAGGATGTTATTCAGGCCAGGAATGGTGGTACACGCCTGAAATCCCAGTGACTTCAGAGGCTGAGGCAGAAATTCTAGGCCAGCCTCAACAACTTAATGAGGCCTTAAGCAACTTAGTAAGACCCTGTCTCAAAATAAAAAATAATAGCTCAGTGGTAAAGCTCATGCGTTCAATATCTAGTGCGTACATTTAAAAGTCAAGGCTATTCCTTTACTATTCTGGGCAAATTTTCAAATTAGATCTGTGATTCATTCAACAAATGACATTAATAAAAAATAAGGTTCTTCATTCGGGCATCTCACATTCTAATATGGGAAGAAACACAACAAATACACAAATTATAACAGATGACAAAGCTGAAGGTACAGCTCAGTGGTAGCACAGATATTTTACATGCATAAGACCCTAGGTTTGAGCCCAAGCACAACCAAAAAAAAAAAAAAAAAAAAAGGTGGTGTGGTGTTGGTGCATGCCTGTAGTTCCAACTACTCAGAAGGCGAAAGCAGGAGAATCACTTGAATCCAGAAGTTTAGGAATTTAAAGTCAGCCTGAGCAACATAGCAAGACATTGTGTCTTTTAATCCCAGCGACTCAGGAGGCTGAGACACAAGGATCACAAGTTTGCAACCAGCCTCAGCAATTTACTGAAAACTTGTCTCAAAATAAAAAGGGCTGGGGATGTGGCTCAGTGGTTAAGCACCCCTGGGTTAAATTCCCAGTACAATAAAAAAGGAAAAGAAAAAGCTGAATGTGTTGGCACATGTTTATAATCCCAGCTATATGGGAGGCTAAGGCAGGAGGACCATCAGTTTGAGGCTAGCCTGGACAGCTTACTAAGATCCAGTCTGGGCCTGGGGATGTAGTTCAGTGCCTAGCATATGCAAGACCCTTAGTTCAATCACTAGTACTGTAAAAGAAAAAAAAAAAAAAAAGGCTGTTACAGATAAGCTGGGACATGGATCTACAGAGAAGTATGTAGACATAGATTCAGGGTACATTTTAGTAGTGGCATACACAGGACCTGATGATGGATGGATGAATCAGATGTGAAAATATGGGAAAGAAAATAAAGGTTACCTCAGTGGGCATAGGTGGTGTATAATTTACTAAAATACTAAAATGGGGACTACTCAAAGGAAGCAGACATGAGTATGGCTATTAAGAGTCCCCTATTGCCAATATGACCTCTGAAAAGCCTACTGGAAATCCATGTGGAAACACCCAGTAAGTAACAGGGTACAGAAATTGGTAATTTCAGAGAGACATCATTTCTGAAAAGAAAGACTTGGAAGTCATTGAATATATACAGCATTTAAAACTATGACGGCATGAAGTCACCTAGAATCATATCTGAAATTAATCTACCTATAATCATCATTTGGGAAGTTTGATTAAAGTATGCTTTCCATTTTCCAGTGAAAAATTTTATTCAAAAGACTGGAATAGAGCTTAGGGATCATGTTTTTAAGAAGAACTCCAACTAATAATTAAGGTGAATCTGAGGAGACATAAAATTCCACCCATTTAATATTAACCTGCTTGTGTTCACAGAAGCACAGAAGGCTAATAACACCTCAGAGGATTGTTATGAACATTAAATTAGAATATATGTAAAGTACCTAGTACATAGTAAGTATTCAACAAATGTTAGATCAACTTACACTTCCATTAGCGCTTGAAGGAATCTTGGTGAGGCAGTGTGGTGTGGTAGAAATAACATGGGCCCTGTAATCAGACAAACCTGGGTTCAAAGCCTAGCCCTTACACTTAATTTGTGTCTGACCTTGAGCAAGTTACTTATCTAGCTAAGCTTTGTTTTTCTTCATCCTGCCTCATAGTGTCACAGGATTAAATAGAATCTACACATAAAAAGTATTTTGCATTAAATAAACTGTGTAACAGTTGCATAATGGAATCCTAAACAGCCAGTGAAAATAAAAGTTACATGTAATAACATGGAGAAATCTCAAACAAATAAAAGAAACCAACACAGAAGAATAYAATAAAATGATTACATCTAAATAAAGAGTAAGCAAAATGAAATAATATATTGTTTAAGGATATATATACATATGTGATAAAAATTGGAGAAAAGGAAAAGATCTGATTATAAACTTTTTAAACAATGGTTATCTCTGGAGGACAGAAAGGGAAGTGATTATTTAAGGATTTGTAAAGTACTGATTGTTGGATATAAGGCTTCACTTTAAAACTATTTAAAAAACACCATCTGTTACTTCAAAATAAAATTTTTTAAACAGCTTAACTAAAAAAAATATCAGTAGTATTTAATCAAATTTAACAATGTTTCATTTTCTAAGTCTATGCGCCTAAAGAATTCACCCAAGTTTATCCAAAATTCAAGACCTGACCCAGGTCTTTTGGCTCCCATCCAGTGATGACCCCATCTTATATTTTACTACATAAATAAATCACATTATTATATATTAAATTTTTGAGTTTGCTTACCACTTTGATAGTACTTGGAATCATGTGTCCATCTGAAGCCAGTGCAAAGGCCGAAGTCAGTCAATTTAATATGACCATCACGATCAATCAAAATGTTATCAGGCTTAATATCCCTATGAATAAAACCCATTTTATGAACACTTTCGACTGCACAAGTAAGTTCTGCTATGTAGAACCGTRCCAGATTTTCTGGAAAGATGCCCATTCTAATTAAGAGGCTCATCATATCACCCCYGGGAATGTAATCCATCACAAAGTATAAATTGTCCTTATCTTGGAATGAATAATATAATCGAACTACCCATTCATTGTCAGCTTCAGCCAGTATATCTCTCTCAGCTTTAACATGTGCGACTTGATTTCGAAGCAGAACATCTTTCTTTCGAAGAGTTTTTGTTGCATACAAAGCYTTAGTATCTACTTTTCTTGCTAGACACACTTCACCAAATGCTCCTATTCCTAGGGTCTTTATCTTCACAAACATAGACTTGTCCATTTTAGCCCTTTTAAGACGAATGTAGTTAGACTCTTTTTGGCAAAGCATCTTTCTCATTTGATCCTGGGCATCTTGAGATAATCCAACCTAGGTAAATAAACTAGATGTTAAATGAGGAATTGTCATCTTCAATATTCAGTATTAGAAATAGCTTAGAAGAAATTCAGGCATATATGTAAAGGTTAAGTGCACAATAATTTTTAATAAAGCATGTTAGACATCTAGAATGTATTTCAGAGAAAATTAAATGATCAAAAGTGTAGCTTAAGAGATAGTTAACAGAATGCACAAAGTAACTATGCAAATTCAGCTAAGGGAAACAAGAAAATGAGGATACCAACAGTCAGCTTTCTCTTCTTCTCTAATAGAACACTCAAAGAATAGCTTTCCAATGTGCAATAAAACATATATTTGTCCACATGCACTCTCAACTGTCTCCATGCATATTCATCCCAAATGATAGGATTAGATTGCCTTCACTAAATGCTACTTTTTGTGGATGTCTAAGTCTTAAATATTCTTCCTCTCATTTTATCCTACATGAAAAAAAATTCTTGCATTCCAAGCTCATTTGTTCTAAAAATAAATAAATAAATAAATAAATAAATAAATAAATAAAAGTGATGTATTACAAACAGAACAATGCTTTCTCTACCCTATCAATCCTTTTCCTGTTCTCAAGAAGTAGGTACTAGTTATTGATACTCTTTTTTTACCTTTCTTAGAGCATCAGAGAAGGGGTAGGACTCAGCTCATTGCAACCACAAAATTAAGTGTCTCTATCTCATTTAAAAGGGACAAATTGTTTGGCTACAAAGTATCTTTTAGATATTTTGGAATATTTCAAAAAATAGTTGGTGTGACTCACAGAAATAGAAATAAAAAAAACTTCTAAGTAAATATGGAATACCTGATTTAGAAGGGTTTCTTTTGGCTAATAAAGAACTAATTAATAAAGATCTAACTGAAGGGTCTAATTGGAAAAAGAATTCAACTAGAAAAGTAGAGCCTAATTTTAGAAATGTCAAGACTAATTAAAATATAGCAACCTCATGCTTCTGTTAGGATGCACATTTCCATGCAACATCTTCTAAGAAAAGAGTGGCATGCCAAACTTAGTAATATAGAACTGTTTCTCTTAAAATCTTACTTGCCTACACAGTAATGGAGGCTACAGAAGTCAGCAAAGCTTCCAACACCATAAAAGTTTAAATCAGCTATTAGTGAAAGTGAAGAGGAAAAAGGAAAAATGAACTAAGAAAATACATACACACAGACTTTAGTAAGAAATTCTAAGAACTACAATATGGATAAAGTCATAGAAATAATCATGGTTTTACTCAAACACAATTTAGTTTATAATAAGAATAACAATGTTGTATATAAAATCTGATTCAGAATAATCATTTTTGAAGAATAACTTCATAAAGTATGTGAAGTTGTTAAATCACAAGTTTGAGCTTCTTGGATTTTGACTGGTAATAAGATGAGAAATCAAATCTTCAAATTCTAAGCATATGATAAAAATGATAATGGTGATGATGATACTATGTAGTATCTAGTAAAGAGATTTATGTAGAATCACAACACAAATCAAAATGATCAAAGTGTTTATATTCTGACTTATTAATATCAGCGTATTTTTCTCAGAACACTATTAAAATGAAATTAGAAGAGGAAACTAATTGATGAGATATCTGATACTTTGACCCAGATATTTCTCACTGATTTTTGAATGTTGTAAGATAATGCACAAAATCTAGAAAATAACCCTTATTCCAATTTCTGTATAAAATGTTTATATATACCTAAACCAGTATATTATAAATTATATATTTTTAAAATTTACAAGAACTTTACTACAGGAAATTCTGAGTAAATCTTGAAATACTAAAATAAAATGCTATAATAAAAAATGCTTTAAAGTTCATTCACTTTAATGACTGATAATATATCTTGCTATAAGAAATAAGAAACATACTGGAGCACAATATTTTAAAATAMATATCTAGGAAACAGATGATTAAGTATAAAATAGTTATTTTAAAAAGTTTTACCCGCATCATTTCGTTCTCTAATTGTTTTTTACGATGCAGACGTTGCTGATGAGATTTGAGGACATTTTCTACATGCTGCTCCATAAAGAATTTAAATGCCTGAGGAGAATAACTCTGAATACGAGATTCTCTTCGCTCTTCATCTTTCTTGTTTTTCCTAACAGTGATAGGTGAAGTTGTAATCTGCTTCTTTTCTTTATCCCCACTATCAACATTTTCAAAACTTTTCTCACCCTCATCTTCATTGGATAAGCTAGGCTGATCCTCTTTACTAGATTTATTTACAGGTTCATATGGAGGAACAGATGGGTTTTGGTGTAGCAGATGTTTTGGATAAGGTGGTGGTGGACCTTGATAGTTTGGAGCTTCAGCAACAGGTGGCATAACAGCCATATTGGAAGTAGTACCCTCAGAAAAAGGGCTGGGTTGAACAGTCTGAATTGGTTGTGGTATCCAAGAAGGGTGGGTAGGTGCTAACRCAGTCTGTAGCTCTGGTTTTAATACACGCATACTTTTCACAGGCTGTTGAATGGGAGCTGGTGTGATCGCAGTGACTGTTGTAGCTGAAGGCTGAGAATTAGCAGAGTGACTTGTTCTATTTCCTAAGGGGTTATTAAACGAATTTGACCTCACTGGTATGTTAGGCTGCCATGTAGGAATCTCATGCCCGCTGCTTGGGGATGACTGGGCAGGAGCAGAAGATGACTGAGGCCAAGTTGTCTGCAGTCCAGGTATATTAATGTTATAAAGTTCCAGGTTATGACTGTTTCTGTTTGGCACTATCATAGACTGAGGAATATTTCCGTTTGGGTATGACGAAGGAGCAGCAGACCCCCCTGTTTGTAAAGCAGAAGGGCTTTGTCCATTAGCTGGGGTCAGAGGATAGGGTGGGGGTGGCTGCCGATTCACAGTGCCAGCAGGGACAACATTTTGGTGCATCATAAAGTCAGTCTGACCACCACCATTCTGAATTCCAGGTCTCCCTGGTGGAAAGTTAAATTTGTTAGAACTCTGCATGATGATYGGTTGTCTGCCCACAGGAACAGAACCAATGCCTCTCTGTCCCTGGTTAGGAGGATTCATGGGGGAAGTGTTAAGAGGTGGTGGTGGATAGCCCTCCTGCCATGCCCCAGGTGGAACAGGAGAGATTCGGGAGATTACATATTCCATGTTCCCAGAATACCTCTTTGAGAGTTTGGTTCCCAAGATGGGGGAGGTGGAGTTGTACCTCGTGGAGGGGGAGTCTGGCCTCTTGGAGGTGGTGGAGGAGTAACACTCCTTATTTGAGGTGGTGGTGGGGGGTTCACTCTCTGTCCATTGCTASGGTGAGCTTGAGCAAATGCTGTGATACCAGATCCAGATAAAGGTCTTCCTACATCTGTCTGTGAGTTGGGACTTTCAGAACGGTAGACCACACTTTCTCCCAGAGGTGGGCCATGTCTCTGAGGAACTAAAGATTCTTTAGAGCCTTTCCAGCTTTGTTTACGGTTAATTGATTGTTGCACACTCCCTATGATAATAAAAGAGAAAAAAAATCATATTTTTAACCTCTTGCTTCTGAAAACTTTAGCTTAAAATTCTGATATGACTAAATGATACTCGAGTYTCAAGAATTAAGAAATTGGGAGGCTGAGGCAGGAGGATCATAAATTTGAGGTTAGCCCCAGCAACTTAGCAAGACACAAATTAAGAAAAAAAAAAAAGATGGGTGGATATAGTGATAAAGTACCTCTGGGTTCAATCTCCAGTATTAAAAAAAATAATTTTTATTAAGAAAATGGGAATAAGTTCAAAAGATCTATTTGTACAACATGGTGACATAGTTAATAACAAAGCATTGTATCCTTGAAATCTGCTGAAATTTGAAATGTTCTCACCACCAAAAAAAAATTATGTGAGGCACTGCATGTTAACTATCCTGATTTAGCCCCAAAAGAAAAATAATTATAAAATAATGAAGCTTGTTTATTTTTGACTAATATATTCTTATGGCTCAAAATTTATAAGGTACAATATAGAGTTAGGATTATGGCTCAGTTGGTAGAGTGCTTGCCTGGCATGTACAAGGGCCTGGTTAATCCCTAGGACCACCAAAAAAAAAAAAAATCAAAATAATACTTTTGTCCCTTATCCCAGCAGTTTCCTTCACTAAAGGTAACTAATGTCATCATTAGTACATGAGAGGAAAGTAGTGTATTTTCTATGTAGTATTGTGCCTGCATTTTTCTTTTTTTTTTTTCAAAGAACAAAGCCTGCATTTTTCTTTCATTTAAAAAATGGAGGTTCTATATCAGCATATAAAGTGTTTCCTCATTTAAAATAATGTTATGCTGGGCACAATTTTATACACCTATAATCCCAGGACTCAGGAGGCTGAGGCAGTAGGATCACGAGTTCAAACTCAGCCTCAGCAACTTAGAGGCCCTAAGCAGCTCAGCAAGACCCTGTCTCTAAATAAAATATAAAAAAGGGCTGGGGATATGGCTCAGTGGTTAAGTGCCCCTGGGCTCAATTCCTAGCACTAAATAAATAAATAAATAAATAAGCAAATAAATAAATAAATAAAATGTTATCATGTTTTTCCCACCTATTGTATAGAGTATCTTAATTTATTTGATCAGTGCCTTAACAGATAGGCATTTATATTGTTTCCAGTCTTGTGTGTCTCCCCCCCCACACACAAAGCAATGAAAAATTTTGTGCAAATATAATTTCATATATATATACATATATATACGCACAGGTATCTGCAGATAAATTTCTAGAGACGAAACTACTGAGCCAAAGGGTATGTCCATTTGTAATTTTGATAGATACAGCTACTATTTTTTTTTTTTGGAGGGTTCTGGGGATTAACCCAGGGGTGGTTTACCACTGAGCTACATATCCCCAGAACATTTTATTTTTTTATTTTAAGACAAAGTCTTGCTAAGTTGCAGAGGCTACCTCGAATTTGCAATCCTCCTGCCACAGCCTGACTTGCTGGGAAAATAGGCATGCACCACCATACCTACTTTTAAGTACATTTTAACATGGGTTTTAAAAGAAAAAGTAGGGGATAACCAGCTGAACATTTCATACAGTATAGTTTATAGTATCTGCCTTTGATGGAGTTTCTAAAYAAATGAAATAAGCAAGAAAATGGACAATATATTTTAAAAAGCAGCATTTAAAATGAGACAGACTGTCCTCTCAAAAATATATAAAAAATTTTAAAAACACTGTTGAGGCTCAGAAAATGATACCCCAAAGATCTGACATGCTAAACTGGACAAAATGTCAGAACTAAGGTCTCCTTCACCCATTTCCCCAGGGTCAGTGATTCACTTTCTCAGAAGCACTTATCTGACTATGGTAAGTTCCCTTCCCAGAAGGAAAGCAGTTGTTATGAAATCTCATTAACCAGGAAGGATTAACCACTGGAGAAGAGACTGAACTCAAATATCAAACCTACAGCCCAAAGAAACTTTGTCCCAGGCCACTGTCTATTCTTGGACTCATTCATTTCTCCTAAAAGAAAACCCCACAAATTGAAAGGTTAATATTATCTTGAGAGAAAATAATGTAATAATGTRACCAAAAAACAGAACAAAATAATATATGTTCAGAATGTACAGTTTAGCACTTTGCTTCATCTAGGCTGTAGCAGCATTTTGGACTTCAGAGAAAGTTATCTCTCTGGGCAAGCCAGACAAGTCCTCCAGGCACAAGGCCCAGTCTCACTTTCCTCAGAGAGCCAGCTGAGGCTAATACCATATCACTCATCCATTTTTTATAAGTTAAAAATTTTTTTTTAATTTAAAAAGAAAATGGGGGGTTGGGGCTACAGCTCAGTGGCAGAGCGCTTGCCTAGCATGTTCAAGGCACTGGGTTCGATCCTCAGCACCACAAAAAAATAAATAAACAAATAAAGGAAGCATTGGGTTTGATTCTCAGCACTGCATATATATAAATTAAAAAATATAGTCCGTTGACAACTAAGAAAATATTGAAGAAAAAAAACAGACCCAAGATTGTACACTATATTGTATACTACCAGAGAAATGAAAAGCTGTGCTCTATTTGTGGAGCTGGGGATATAGTAGAGTGCTTGCCTTGCATGCACAAGGCTCTGGGTTCAGTCCGCAGCCCCCCTGCCCCAACAAGCTGTGCTCTACTTGTGTACAACAAACCAAAATACATTCTACTGTCATGTATAACTAATTAGAATTTTTTTTAAAAAGGGGGGGCTCCTCTGGGAGGGTGACTTAAGAATTCACTGGATAATGATCCTGGGTTGGGAGCTTTGTATTTTCCAAGAACAAAAAGAAACCCAGTCCAGTCACAGAGCATCAGATGAGGAGAAGAATGGTACTAGACGAAATATGATARGTAACCAGACTATGGAGAAGAATTTGTAAGGAATTCAAAGTCAATGAAGGCAGCAGAGTTAGAGTATCCTCTATAAAGGATTTAAATAGCAATCTTATCTATCTTATTATGGACTTGGTTAATAAAACTTTGGTCATGGGAAATAGGTAGATTGATTCTACTATAAATTCCTAATTAGTATCCTCAAATGACTCAGCATGACCAGGAAATTTTATTATTTCTTTGGTCTCCACTATTACCATCCTCAGTCTCCTGAAATTGTCTTCTTATTCCTCACTCATGACTTAAGCAAATGAATTGATTTTCTACTTCAGAGAAAGGAGAAGACATTAGAAAGTAACTCCCTTATCTTCTCTATGTAACACAGGCCTATCTAGGCCTATAAAAGCAGAATGATTTGCTCTTTGTAGCTGATCCCCCATCCTATGTTTTGGATCCTATCTCTTCTTGGCTTCTCAGGAACCTTAACTGATCCTTCTCCCTTGAATATTTAAATTCATCCTCTTAACTGAAGAGTATTCAGGTTTTTGCTTTGTTTTGTTTTGTTTTAGTGGTGCTGGGGATTGAACCCAGCGCCTTATGTATGCTAGGCAAGCACTCTACCAACTGAGCTATATGCCCAGCCCCTCCAGTTATCTTTTAAACATGTCTATGGGGTAGAGATACAGAGTCTGTCTGGAAATTCTGTCTGCTCAAGTTTGTTGTGAACCTAAAATTGCTTTCAAAACTAAGATCTACTAAAAAAGAAAAAAAAAAAAAAAAGGAACATGTCAAAATAAATAAACAAAGACAATTCTTTCTCCACTTCCATTCAGGCCTCTACCTCAAAATGTTTTCTAGAGCTGGTAGACAACTAATAGTAGTCCAACATCAGTTAAGTATAGAAGAATAAGAATTGAGGGGCTGGGGTTGTGGCTCAGTGGTAGAGCATTTGCCTGGCATGTGTGAGGCACTGGGTTCGTTTCTCAGCACCACATCGAAATAAGTGAATAAAATAAAGGTCTATTAACTACTTAAAAAATATTTAAAAAAAAAAGAATAAGAATTGAATTTTTGTCAAACATGGGGCCCAAGCCTGTAATCCCAGTGATTTATGAGGCTGAGGCAGGAGGACCAAGAAAGTGTTCAAACCCAGCCTCAGCAACTTAGCGAGGCCCTAAGAAACTCATCGAGACCCTATCTCTAATAAAATATAAAAAAAATGATTGGGGGGGGGCTGGGGCTGTAGCTCAGTAGTAGCACACTTACCTGGTATGTATAAGGCACTGGGTTCGATTCTCAGCACCACATATAAATAAATAAGCATCTATCAACGATTAAAAAAATATTTTTAAAAGGGGGGGTGATGGGGATGTGGCTCTGTGGTTAAGAGCCCCTGAGTCCAATCCCTGGCACCAAAATAAATAAATAAGTGATAGAACTTTTACAGAAATTTGATGGAGCAATCTGATGTCTATTAAGCCTTATAATAAAATATTTGGATTTATACTTTGTCATTTAAAATTTTAATTTTCCAATTCATTTTTATTGTATTTTATAAATTGATTAATTTATAATTAATTGGAAATTAAAGAAACCAAAGCTCTTCACCACAGATTATCTGCATCTTCTGATCTGWAGTCACACATTGTACCCCACCACAGATTATTTAGGAAGCACTACTCTTGCTGATGTCTTTCCTTATTCTCTTGTCACAGAAAAATTTCTCTAAGAGTTGCTATATATTGGCCAGGCATGGTGGTGCATGCCTGTAACTGAGGAGGTTGAGGCAGGAGGATCACAAGTTCAAAGACAGCCTTAGCAACTAAGTGAAGCCCTGTTGCTAAATAAAACCCAAAAAGGGCTGGAAATGAGGCTCAGTGGTTAAGTGCTTCTAGGTTCAAGCTCTTATACACCCTCCACAAAAAGTTGCTATATTTGTGTTCTTTTCTACCTCATATCATATTGATTCCTCAGCCCTCTTCAATCTGAATTATATTCCTACTACTGGAGAAACAAGTTACCCTATAATTATGAATTATAACCTCTTCCAAAATCCATGTCGAAGCCCTAACCCCTCATTCCCCTTCAAATGGGACCACATATGATAATTAAGGTTAAATGATGTCACTAGGGTGGGCTACAATGCAATATGACCTCTGTTTCTATAAAAGAAAATCTGGACAAGTGTACTGGCACATGCCTGTGATCCCAGAGACTCTGGAGGCTGAGACAGAAGGATCATAAGTTTGAGGCTAACCTCAGCAACCTAGTGAGACCCTGTCTGAAAAATAAGAACCAGGGGTTTAGGGTTGTGGCTCAGTAGTAAAGCACTTGCTTAACATGTRTGAGGCACTGGCTTTGATTCTCAGCGCCGCATGTAAATAAATAAAGATCCATTGACAACTAAAAAATTAAAAAAGATAATAATAAAAAGAAAAAGTAAAAACTGGATGGAAGATGTGGCTCGATGGGTTCAATCACATACACACACACATACACACACATACATATATACACTTAAATAACAAATAAATTTATGCATGGTATATTAAGTGAATAAAGTAGGATTCAGTAAGAGGCCCCTTCCCTTTTGCCCCAGCCACAAGAATCAAAAATACCTGTGTATTATAGATTTACTCAGATTTCCCTTGAGAAAAGACTGGGAGCAACACATCAAAATGTGGAGTTACTAACAGTAATTAGTAATTACTGTAGTAATTACTAATTACTATTAGTAATTCTTATCCAAATATTCTATAATGAATACATTTTACTTTTTTATAGTATGAAAAAATATAAAAAAAAACTTGTATAATGTTATGTTGGGAGGAAATGATTCATTTAGATTATGATACAACCAGTCAAGTAGTTTGCAGACTAGACTGCTGCTTATTAGAATTACCCATTAATTTTTAAACATGAAAGTTTCACCCTCAAAGTAATTCTGGCATAACACTATAACTTTATAGTGTTAAAATTTCAGACTTTCATTTATTGGGCTGCTTTTAAAAATTTCTAAGACCAAAGACTTGACATACTTAAGTGTTTAAAAACTGTACCATAAAAGAGACTAGAAAAAAAGGTTTGATGAATCACCTGGTTTCATGCTGGCATTAATAGGTCTAGCAGCTGCTGCAGCCATCTGCTCCCGCCGAGGATCTTGGTAACTCATTTTACTAATGAATTCAATCGCTGCTTCTATACTTCTGTTATTAGTTTTCTGAAGAGCTTGTATAACCATATCCTGATATGAAGTTTAAAAACAAAACAAAACAAAAAAAACTTTAAATCTTATAATTAATAAAAGAGAAAGAACACTGAGATCAACCAGGGAAATTCCTAATTATAAATGACAAAGCCCCAGTTCTTAATATCAATATTCTATTTGCAACTATTAAAAACAAACAAACAAAAAAAGGACTAAACTTGGCATTGTGCATGTTAGGCACGAACTGTGCCACTGAACTAAATCCCAAACTCCCCAAAACCCCAATCTCAAATTACTAAAGTTAAACAAAGAAAAACTTTAAAATGTTTCTTGAATATTTTCAGCTTTATATAATGTGTTACTGTTTCCTTCTAGGATTAACTTCTTCAGGGTACAATTATAACGCAATTTTGATTATTTTTCATTCTTATATAAACAGAGACTWCCAGAATTTTTTTTTTTAAAAGCATCAATCAAAGTACTGGAAAAGACATTTTTGTATCATTAAATATTTTATCAAGCAACTTTGCCACTATGTATACTAATAAAAGAACTACAAAGTTCTGGTTTTTATCCTCTTAAGAGGTTACATTTTCAGGAAATTATATTTGTAGGGGCAAAAAAATATAGGAAAAATGGTAAAAGAAAATACTAAACTAAATATAATAATTATGTGATGAAGATTTTAAGAAGTTAGATAGTAAAGGGGGTGACTCATAGTGGGGCAGGGAGGGAGAGCATGGGAGGATTAGATTAATTCTAGATAGGGAAGAGGGGTGAGAGGGAAGGGGAGGGGGAAGGGGATTAGCAAGGATGGTGGAATGTGATGGTCATCATTATACAAAGTACATATATGAAGACTTGAATTGGGTATCAACATAACCTTATATACAAACATACCTTAAATACAAACATACCTTATATACAGAGATATGAAAAATTGTGGAATATATGTATATTAAGAATTATAATGCAAAAAAATGTTCATATATAACCGCATAAATTGACGTGAACATAACTTTATGTAGAGATACGAAAAATTGTGCTCTATATGTGTAATAAGGATTGTAATGCAAAAAAGAAGAAGTTAGTGTGATGCAACAAACAGGATTTGGAATTAGACTGATCTGAGGTTGAATTCTAGCAACTCAACATAACTGTGTGAATTCTGGTAAGTTAACATTTCAGAATCTGTTTCTTCAACTATAATAAGTTACAGGGTTGATGTGAGGAGTAAATAAGAAAATGCATAAAGCACATAAGTGCAGTGCCTAGAGCTCAAATGCTAGTTGTCTTCCTTTATTACTTGTCCTTTATGTTAAATGTAAACCCAAATTATACACTAACATACAGAAAATATGATGACATGCAGTTTTCAAGAGGGAGGCAACAACATATTTGTTCTAGAGGATTTAATATTTTCAAATGATATCTAAAAAATAGGAAATGGCTTAGAAAGACTAATGGGTGAACAGGCTGCCAACAGATGTCAACATCTTATGTAAAATGACTGGAAGATGAATGTGAGASCAAACAAAGAAGGATCTGGTAGAAACCTACTGACTACTTAAGATCCATTCTCCCTTTCTTGAGAAGGTTACACTTCTTGTTTCTGGAATAATTTTGCTATCTCTCGTTCAGGTAYTGGTCCTTGCATCCTGTTTCCTAGGGAGCTAATACAATACCTGCACTAGAGAATGCTGCCACTAAGAAGTAAAAGTTGACACTAATAAAAAGTYCCTGGCTCTGATCTTTAACAGTATGAGCCAACGACAGCTATTTAAAGTGAATTGTTATCTTGTTTAAAGAGTTGTTTTGATTTTTTTTCATTTTTAAACTGACAAAGAATTTTAATATTTAAATGTACAATGATGGAGGAGAGTTTTTGTTTTATTTACTATTTGAACTCAAATTGTTCTCTCTGTAATTTATTTTTTATTATTTATTTATTTATTTTTATTAATTTTTATTGTTGGTTGTTCAAAACATTACATAGTTCTTGATATATCATATTTCACACTTTGATTCAAGTGGGTTATGAACTCCCATTTTTACCCCGTTTACAGATTGCAGAATCACATTGGTTACACATCCACTGATTTACATATTGCCAAACTAGTGTCTGTTGTATTCTGCTGCCTTTCCTATCCTCTACTATCCCCGCTCCCCTCCTCTCCCCTCCCCTCTTCTCTCTCTACCCCATCTACCATAACTCATTTTTCCCTCTTGATTTTTGTTAAAAGTGACCAAACTCAATCCCTAACTGAAACAAAAGTACAATATGGTCACATTTAATGCCAATTAGATTTTGCAAATTTGTAATGAGATACAAAGAAACTAATAAGTCTCATTTTGTATGCAAATCTGAAAGAATACAAATCACCTAAAATTAGAATTCCTGAGGGAGTGCTTAATTTTAAAATGGTTAAACCAAGTGTACTATAAATATGCTATTATCTATCACATGGCAATGCCATCTTCACTGGCAAGAAAATTGGCACCCATTGTCCTTTTTCAATATGTGGAAATCATATTCTTCTTAATTGCACTGGAATTTCTGCCTATATTTTTTTTATTATGCTGGCAATTATTTAGTTATGTATTTTAGTATTAGGGATTTAACTCAGGAGCACTCTACCACTGAGATACATCCCAGCCCTTTTAATCTTTTTTAAATTTTGAGACAGGTTTTCACTAAGTTGCAGAGGCTGACTTTGAACTTATAATCCTCATGCCTCAGCCTCCCAAGCTGCTTGAATTGCAGGCATGCATGGCTTTTTTATCTTAATATTTATTGTTATGTTTTAAACTATTTTTTCTTTCTGTAACATCAACCAAGGTTCACTAAGTAGGGGTGTAGTGACACTATAAAAGAGTATCCTCAACTGAATAATTCTGGAATAAAACTCTTATGTGACAGGAAAACATTAGTGTGACATAATTATGCCTGGTTTTCATGTTTATAACCCAAAATAAAATCCAGTAGACAGTATGATGGCACATGACTATAATAATCCCAGTGACTTGGGAGACTGAGGCAGGATGATTTCAAGTGTGAGGCTAGTGTGAGCAATTTAGCAAGACTCTGCCTCAAAATAAAAAATAAAAAGGAGCTGGGATGTAGCTAAATTGTAAAATCCCTTGGTTCAACCCCCAATACCACGACCCCAAAAGAAAAACCAAAAAACTCCAGTGACTGTATATTGTGTGCATGCATCAATCCTATCAATCCTGTTTAACATTTATTCCCATAAGGAAATTAATCTTGAAATATTTGAGCTTTCAATTCTTAAGAGTTACCAGAAACACATTCTCAAAAAGAAGAAGAAGGAAAAAAAAAGAACCTGCCTTGAACTTGTCATAGTTAATAAAATGGAAACTGGCTAAGAATTTTGAAGTATTAAGTTAGGCTTTGAACAGTATAAATTCTACAATATAATGGGAAGTTACCAGAATAAGYGATTCAAGAAATTAGCAGAACAGACTGCTTTATCTTAAAAAAAAAAAAATCACAATACATTTATTTTCACATCCTATAATACAAAGCAATTATTTTTGAATATTTTTAGTTATAGATGGACACAATACCTTCATTTTATTTACTTTTCATGTGGTGCTGAGGATTGAACCCAGTGCCTCACACATRCTAGGCAAAGGCTCTATCACTGAGCCACAACCCAGTCAATGGGACATTAGGGCTGGAGATGTAGCTCAGTGGTAGAATGCTTACCTAGCAAGTGGAAGGCCCTAGGCAATCACCAGTACTGCAGAGGAAGAAAAAGAGAGAGAATAGGACATTGAACAACGCCTTGTATTTCTTAAAAGTATCTACATTAGAAAGGACTTTTAAGTCTTTTAAAGATATGGTCCATGTATGGTATGACTTACTACCTAGCTGATGGGTTCACACAGCTATATGATGATTTATCTGATCTAACACATTGCCACTTAAGGGCTTTCATAGCTATATGATTTGATAAACTCTGTTTATCAATATATATGATAGGAAAGAATAAGATCAATGATTCTCTTTATTCTTTTCCCTTGGCTAAATAAGAAGAAAGTACTCTGGAGAATTGCCAGAAAAACATTATCCTAGTTACTTTCCTCTTCCTATCTCTATTTTCTGGTACAAATCTAGCACTTTTATTTATTTGTTTATTAAAATTTATTTATTTATTTTATTTGGTGCTGAGGATTGAACCCAGGGCCTCACATGTGCAAGACAAGCACTCTACCACTGAGCTACAATCCCAGCTCCCAGATATAGTATTTTTAAAATACCCAAGTACAAATCCCAGCAGCTCATGAGGCTGAGCAGGAGAATCGCAAGTCCAAAGCCAGCCTAAGCAACTCTGTGAGACTCTGTCTCTAAATAAAAAATAGGACTGGATATGTGGCTCAGTGGTTGAGTGTCTTTGAGTTCAATCCCTGTAACTCACCACCCCCACCAAATACCCAAGTACAAAATTGATAGAAAATGATATTAGTTAAATATTAAATAAAATGAGCCAGAAAAATAAATCCCTTTTCCATCTAGTATAATTATAAATATCCCTTTTTATATTTAGGTTCTCATTTTAAAAATTAGTCATATACCACGTTTCATATTTATGTTCATAAATATGACACACATATGGTCTCTTTAGGTATAGGTGTATATAGCAGCCACACCATCTAAGATTGTGTAAATATACTCTGTATTCACTCAAGGATGACATTGCCTAATGGTTCTCCCTTAAGTCTTATTGATGTATGACTGTATAGAGATATTTAGAAATGTGATCACTTAAATATTAATACTAGTGAAGAAATTTTAAGGGTAGTCATCTTTGTATAATGCAACTAAAGATCATTTTCAGTTCATTATTTTCTAATTTTTTTTTTATTTTGCTACAGGGGATTGAACTCGGGGGCACACAACCACTGAGCCACATCTCCAGCTCTATTTATATTTTATTTAGAGACAGGGTCTCACTGAGTGGCTTATGCCTTGCTTTTGCTGGGGCTGGCTTTGAACTTGTGATCCTCCTGCTTTAGCCTCCCGAGTCACTGGGATTATAGGCATGACCATGTGCTTGGCTCATTATTTTCTAATTTTTAACATAATAGGTAATATATAATCAGGAAAAAAGCTACTATTTGCATTTTGTTACATTTTATATAGCCAAATTTTATGATTTCTGACACCTAAAATATTCATTCACAAGGTATGCTATCATAGGAAACAAATTTTATTATTAACCTAAACCAAACAGGATTAAATTTGCATGCCTTGAAAAAATTTCCATATAAAAATCTGGTGCAATGGTGTATAACTGTTGTTCCAGTTACTCAGGAGATTGATGTGGGAGAATTCCAAGTTTGAGGTGAACATGGGCAACAAAGTAAGACCCCATATCTCAAAGACATTCAGAATTAAGTTCTGAAGGTAAATATTAAAGAAAAACTTGATATAGTTAGTTTTAACTAAAATTTCAGTACTTTGGGGAAATTTATGATTTGGGCCTAAAAGTGATGTGTACATACATAACTGTGGTATCAAATCCATGATTACAATTCTTTCTCCTCCCAGGACCAGGGTGTGTGTGGTCCCAACTTATTAGGAGGCTGAAGCTAGAGTTTGTTTGAGTCCCAGAGTTCAAGACCAGCCTGGACAATGTAGAAAGACCTCATCTCCAAACAAACCAACCAACCAACCCACAACTTTATCTCCCTACTATAAACTTAAATTTATATCCCTAGAGCTGTCATTTCTCCAACAGCCATTAAGCTCATCAAGTTCATGTTTCATATAATCTTACCTCTAGTTCTCTTCAAATGCACTTCTACTCTGACTTTATAACCTGGCCTTTTAAATTCTAGAAACTCCAGAATTCAGTGATAGGTAGCACAAAAGAAACTAAAGAAATAACCATCATTTTGTTATAATAATTAATGAGATTGTAAACATAACATTCTTTGTTGCTGGAGTACACAAATTTATTACAATTAAATTCACTAAAAAAAAAAATACTTCAACTTGAAAGTACCAAAAGTATTTTGTACAAGGTAAGAATACCTTTTAACTCAAAAATTCTTACCTCATCAAATCCAGCAGCCTGMAAATCTTGAAACATTTGTGGATTAATTTCTGAAGTACTCCGAGAGGAAGAACTTGTTTCATTTGCAAATGGTAGTAGAGAGTTTCGAATTTCTTGCAAGGCTTTATGATATGTCCCAAATTTGGGTGTATTTCTCACTTGTSGAGGATCTTCAGTTGACACTTTATTCAWGTTATGYTCAGCCTTAGCAGCATCGGATGGTTTGGATAAATTCCTAAGGGATTCCCGAATTTCTTGCAACATTTGTCTGCTGCTGCCAGTGTAATTACTGGCAGGAAAGGTCTTAGGCCTCATTTGTCTATATCCTTCTGGCTTTTCACTCCTCTTCATGAAAACATCTATATACGTAACCCACACAAAGGACTTTAAGAACTACTTGATAGATTCAGAGCTTTCTCTTGAGTAGAASTAAAAATGATCCTTTGAGAAAAGTCCCCAGGAATATTAAAGTTCTTTAAAATTGAAGTAATTAACCCTATGAAAGAAAAATAAATTAATTAAAGCCATACAGTGAAATTTTTAAAAAGTACCATTTATGAGGGGGAACCCTCACTGAGTTAAGGATTCAGGTTATAGTTCTGGCTCCACTACGGATTACTGTAGGATCAGGACAAGTTACTTAATCTCTTATTTCCAAGTCTATAAAATAGATTTACCTTATTTACCTCCAGCAATAGTTACAATGAGTAAAAAAATAATAATTTTAAGAGAACTTTAATAAGCATATAAAACACATTCAAATGCAAAGGATTATAACCAAGTGATAATATACAAGATACAGTAGGCAACCTCTCATCAACTTCATCTAGTGTCTCTGATTTTAGGTTTAAAAATTAGACTTCAGTATAAGATTTTATTACAAGAAAGGGTATTGCTGCTTTAAAAGGTTTTYGGCTGAGTGTGGAGGTACAAACCTGTAACCCCAGCGACTAGGGAGGTTGAGACAGAAGGATTCCAAGTTTGGAGCCAGTTTGGGCAACTTAATGAGATCCTATTTCAAAATAAAACTTTTAAAAGGGCCGGCAATGGGGCTGGGGATGTGGCTCAAGCAGTAGCGCGCTCGCCTGGCATGGGTGCAGCCTGGGTTCGATCCTCAGCACCACATTCAAACAAAGATGTTGTGTCTGCCGAAAACTAAAAATGTAAATAAAATATTAAAAAAAAAAAGGTTACAGATCAGGGCTGAGAATATACCTTAGCCAGTAGAGTGCTTTTTAAAAAAATAAAAAATAAAAGGGCCAGCAATGTAGCTCAGTAGTAGAGCTTTTGCACAGCATACATTCAATCCCCCAAAGTATAAGAAAAAAAGTTACTTAAATCACTGATCCAGAAGACGCTTCAAAAAGAAATGTTTGGGTTTATTCTCCAAAATGAGAGACAAGTAAGAGGATCAACAATGGGATACGGAAAGGATCGCTGAAGTCAAGTTTTATTATTCCCCAGTTAGGCATGTATGTTTTCAACACAGTGAAAGAACAGTCATCTAAAGTCTACTTATATGTGCCCATTGATGGGAAAAATTAGTAACTCAAGAGAGCCAGCCAGGCGCAGTATTGTACACCTGTTATACCAGCAACTCAGGGGCTAAGGCAGGAAGATTTCAAGTTCAAGGTCAGCCTCAGCAACTTAGCAACATGTTCAGCAACTTAGAGAGTCCCTGTCTCAAAAATAAAATGGGCTAGGGATATAGTTCAGTGGTAGAGCACCCCTAGGTTCAATCCTAGTACAAAAAAAAAAAAAAAAAAGAGTGAGCCACCCCATTTGTGATTTGTAATAATTATTAGAAATGTGTTCTTCATGAGAAGCATCACACAGATAGTCTGATCCTGATCAGTTTAAACAATCTTGCCTGYGTTCTTATCTTAATCACCCTAATACCTCTGGCTATTTCTACGTTGTAAGTGAACAAACTCAAGTTCAGTTTTGGCAAAATAGTACAAAAATGGTATTGCTGGGATTTAAAACTCTGTCATTATCAACTACTGGGAGTCTATTTCCATCCTCACTAAATATAATTATCACCCATGTTTCATAAAGATGTCTATAGCCAGATATGTAGATATCTCTTTCTTGTCATTTAGATCCCTGTCCTGTTTCTTCCTTCAAGAGCCTTTCTTTCCTTGGTCACCTGATTTACCCGGTAGCTCACCCTCCTCCACCTCTCCTACTGGGAATKRAACCCAGGGCCTCATATATGCTAGGTAAGCACTTTACCTACTGATCTATATCCCCATCTCTTTTGATTTTATTTTACTTCGAGACAGGTTCAGACTAAATCATCAGACTGACCTTGAACTTGTGATCCTCCTGTCTCAGTCTCCAGAATAGCTGAGATTACAGGTATGTGTCATCATGCCCAGCTGTTTCATTTTCTTGATAGTACTTATCACTATTACTTATCACAAAATAGTTGTACTTGTTCACTTGTTAATTGTCCATTTCCCCTCACTTAAATAAAAGCTCCAGTATAGGACTTTGTTTCATCACCATTGTCTGTGCACTACCTGTGAGAGAGCCTGGCAAACGTGAGTATTTAATAAATGTATACATACATATTGAACGAATGAAATAAACACACACATCCTAAACATCCCCAGTTCCTTTAAYTGTTCTTTCATTCAAATCATCTCTTTTGGATACAATCTTCTTTGCCAGAATTCTTCAGATGCTAGAAAGGCACAGCATATATTAACAGAAAAGCAAAAAAAAAAAAAAATGGGATTCAGGTACTTGTTCAATTCATTAATTAGCACTGTGGACTTAGACACAATTTGCTGCAACTGATCCTTGAGATATAATGGCTGGAGTAACATCCATCTAATCAGCTGAACAAGAATTAAGAGGAACAATACAATACAACTAAAGGTATATACAAACAAGCATGTGAAGAGGTAGAATGTTCCCTGAAACATTGTCTATGATAGCAAAAGAGGACTTCAACCTAGATGCTTATTAATGGAGGAGTATTCAAGTAATTCATAGTAAATCTACATAATATTTGAGTAAGTCAAAAAGAATGATGTACTTCTATCTAAATGTACTAATGTGAACAGACACCACAGTGTTTTTCTGTTGTTTTATTTTGGCAGTATTGGAAGTTGAATCCAGGGCCTTGCAAGTACTAGGCAGGAACTGAATTACATCTCCAGTCCTGTTTTTGAGATAGGTAACTACATTCTCCAGGATGGTCTTGAACTTTGGATTTGCCTACCTTAGCCTTTGAAGTAGCTGGGATTACAGGCATGTGCCACCATGTCCACCCACCATATTCTTTTTGTTATKTGGTACTAGGGGTTGAATCCAGGTTCTCCAGCATGGTAGGCAAGCTCTCTGTCATTGAGCTAAATCACCAGTCCCACAATGTATTTTAAGCAACAACAAAAGAACTTAGTTTCAAAAAGTTCACAACATTTTAAAAACTATGAATATAACAGACCTAAAAAAAAAAAAAAAAAGCAAGTTCCAGGCTGGAGTTGTGGCTCAGCGGTAGAGCATTTGCCTTGCATGCATGAGGCACTGGGTTCAATCCTTGCACCACATAAAAATAAAATAAAGGTTATTGTGTCCATTTAAAACTAAAAAACAAAAAACAAAACAAACAAACAAAAAACAAAAAAACAAAAACCAAGGTTCTGGGGCTGGGGTTGTAGCTCAGTGGCAGAGAGCTTGCCAGGCATGTATGAGGCACTGAGTTCAATCCTTAGTACCACATATAAAGGAACAAATAAAATAAAGTCATTCTGCCATCTACAACTACAAAAAAATTAAAAAATAAAAAAAGCAAGTTTCAAAAACTATGGAAAAAATAAATATATTTCATGTCCTAAAATACAGTGATGGTTGTACAACTCTGTAAATAAGCTGAAAACACTGAATTATATAATTTAAATAGCTAAATAGTATGGTATGTAAATATTTTTTAATATCTAAATAATTATTATAGTAAAATACATAAAATTTCCTTCTTTAACCAATTTTTGTAATTTATACCTTACAGAGTTGTTAAAAATAAACCCTTTATTTTTAAAAATTTATATTTTTMGAAATTTAATTATATTCCACATACACACAAATTTGTAACAGGACTGAAATAAGATGAAGCCCTATTAACAGACCACCAGAAGTAGTTTCTTAATAATGTTACATGAATTTGTAAATATTTTTGTGGTAAAATAGCTAAATTAGTTATGAATCATCAAGCAACATGACAAACAGCCCACATCTCTCCATTTTTGTTAAAAAAAAAAAAGAACTTCGTCACTATCTTACAGAACACTAAAAATTATGCACATTCTATCCAGAATATAATCCAATCTAGTGATTCATCTCACGTATGAAATTAGGACATACCTTGTACTTTTATGAAGGAAGATGGTCACTAATAATAATTTCTTTTCTAAGCCTTCCCATAATATAAAATTTAATAATGATTAATTTTAAATATTTAAATTATTGCATTTTATATTAATTATCAATTATTAAAAATAATTATTAATTACTAAATAATTTTCTGGGATTAAAATTTAGTTCAAGGGCTGGGGATGTGGCTCAAGTGGTAGTGCGCTTGCCTGGCATGTGTGCGACCTGGGTTCAATCCTCAGCACCACATACAAACAAAGATGTTGTGTCCGTAGAAAAAACTAAGATAAATATTAAAAAAAAATCCCTCTCTCTAAAAATAAAATAAAATTTAGTTCAATAACACTTGCAGAATTCACTTGTGGCCTTTTCAGAAAGTAAAGATATTTTCTGTAGCTGCTGGAATTTGCCATTTTTCAAAGATTAAAGATTAACAGTAGTTGTGCAATCTCACGTTAATTCTCTCAGTATCTGGACTGCAATTCATTTATATTATATATGGCTTTTTTTGGGGGGGGGTGCTCTAGAGATCAAACCCAGGAGCTCTTTACCACTGAGGCACATCCCCAGCCCCTTTTTATATTTTATTTTGAGACAGGGTCTTGCTAAGTTGCTTAGGGCTCTGCTAAATTGCTGAGGCTGTGATCCTCCAACCTCACTCAGCCTCCTAAGTCACTGAGGTTACTGGCTTATGTCACCAGTACCCAGTTCAGGTATTCTTTTAATATCATACTTATTTGGGGTCTTAACCCTAAGTTAACCATCATTTTTATTGTTGTTGTGCTGTTCTAAGTTTTGCAAAAAAATAGTTTTGCTTCTTTTTCTTAAAAAAAAAAAAAACAAAAAACTTCCTTTTCTCTAACATGGGGCCTAGTTAATAGTAGGAACCACATTACTGCATTTGTTCATTTGTTGAACTCTATTAAATGCAGGTGACTCTTCCTTCTTTTTACTGCTGAGAAAATAGTTTTATTGGGGTTGGGGATGTAGCTTAGTACAAGAGTGTGTGCTTAGCATGCATGAGGTTCACAGAGCACCACAGGGAGTGTGTATGCTATTTATCTAATTATAAAAAGATGCAGGGCTGGGGTTGTAGCTCAGTGATAGAGTGCTTGC